CATTCCTGCACAGTACTATTGCTACTGAGTATACACTATGTCATTTGTGTGGTTTGAACTATTAAAGTGTATTCTGTCAGGATTGTCCTGTTTGACACTGTTTAATATTATTTTGTGTACAGCATTTGGGTATTGTTTTATTATTTGTACAAATGTAAAATAAATTAAACAATTTTTTTCATTTTTTCTGCTACACTTGTTACCATATTCCTTTGAACTTCAAATGAAGTTTGAGTTTATTTTCTTCCTTTTTTTTTTATATTTTAAGCATGGTTTTTTAACATGGTGTGATGCAAAAATGATTTAAAATATGTATCAATATCTGAGAGCTGGAAATCTTAACTGAATTGAGCTCAATTTGATGTTCATATACACTTGAGAAATTAAGAGGGCAGAATTAAACATAGTATTACAGAATTACTCTAAAACATTTAGAGTTAATAGCACAATTTATGGACTTGTAACCTACACTATGGAATCAAATACAGAATTGTATCCCCCCATAGAACTCTGTATGTTACTTTTACAAATATATACAAACAGTTTGCTACTCTGTAATGACTTTGATACAATTGTTCCACAACGGTAAGTTCAGCTTCCACACACAGCTGAAGTCTGTTTGAAAAAAGCATGGAAGTCAATAGTTTGCAGAGCATTGCTGTTTTGTACTACATGGAAGCAAGACATCATATTTTATTGAATGCAGCCTGTAGTTCAACAATGTTAACGAGACTGTTTCAAACAACTATCATGTTTTAGCAGGGCAGTGGTTTTTCTTTAATTATCTTCCACTATGAAGATGTGTGCTTCCCCAATGATATATAACAATACCCATGAACTATTCTTGTACTATTATGATGAGCCACTTAGACTAAAAGTATTATAGTATATAGCCCTCAATTATGGCCTTGCCACCCTTGTCTTTCTCTGGTCATTGTGTTCCTTCTTATCCTCCGTTATAGCCTTTCTTGTTCCAGTTAACGAACTGAAGCCTGCAAAACATTTATGATTACATTTTTATTGCAAAAGTATTTCTTTAAATATAGGATTTTTAGTTATCCTTTGACCAAATACTTTAACAGAATCAAAACTTCTCACCCGTGAAAAGGCTACATAAGGCTTTCCATGTGTAAACACAGGCTTAGGAATATAAATACATATTTTGTCAAAAGTCTGACTTTGTGACTTGTTTATAGTCACAGAATAAAAGGGCCCTTCTACACGTGACTAAAGGCCCTTGTACATGTGAGAAAATTGCCCCATTTAGTGGTTTAATTGCCCTTTTTTATGATTTAATCGTGTAACAGTGTACATGTGTGTCATCATGTTATGTTTAAATTTCGTAACAGTGTACACGTTCGGCCGCGTATTTTGAT